TGACTTCCTATTGTGATGTTGCAAAAATTTTTACGTAGCGGGAATTCGAGTGTAAGAAGAACCTTAATAAAGGACCCGTTTTCTTTATGTATTATAAAACCCGCTAAAACACAGACTAAATAACCTTATTTTAGAAAATATAATGTCACTTTCATATTACAATATTGTTATTATTATTATTATTATTATTATTATTATTATTATTATTATTATTATTATTGTCTCGCTAAAATAAAATAGAACACAACTGGAAGAGAAGGGTTCCACAGTGATAGGTAATTGAAGTAGGGCAAAAATCTATCACATTCGATCATAATAATGTTAGCAATGGGAGACATTATCAATCGAAATATTAAATTTGTTTTAATGAAAACTAAAGGAAGAAGAACATTGATTGAACCGGATGTAATGATAAACAATAATGTAAAGAAGTGAACTGTGCCGTGGAAATACGTACACAGGCACTAATATGTGATAGGCTAACAAACTCTATGCACTTATTAACGGAAAGTAAAATAAATTACTTTCATAGCCTATACAATATTTGTGTTTTTATCATAATAATTTGTAATAATTATCGCTCTATGTATATCCGTACATTCCATAGATTACGCTTAAATGCAAAACATATTAATATTAATTCTTCTCAGTCGGTTGGACCTCAGGAACGGTTGTTTTATTTTCCTTACCGGTTTTTGTTTCTACACACTTTTATAAATTCATTTTCAATTACCTTCCCCCATGTTCGGAAATTTATGTTCAACTTCTATTAAGAAACATGTCCTATTTTATTTCTGAACCACTTAATAGACATTATTTTCATCGACTGTGCATGCATTATCTTTAATGGATAATTCGGAATATAAAAAGAAAGTAAACTACAACGGAGAAATAGATGAATAAAAATATTGTATTGGACCTGTCCTTTTTTAATGTGTGAATGATTATGTCAAGTATGCTATACGGTTTGTTAAAAAGCTCAGTATTCATAGAGGTTACCCCATCTTCAAAACACAAGGACAGTGACACAATGACCAAACAACACCCTGAGACAGGGCTTCTGCACCTTGAATGTTTATATTACAGTGTGCCAGCTTATTGGTTTAAACGAAAAATATTTATTTGAAGCTTGACTGGACCATAATGATTTACGACTTACTTACAACATTTTGTTTTGACATTGTTCATGATATGCAACACGAGAATAACCAGTACTGTCCAAAAGAAGATGGCAGAGTCAATGAGCAATCATTAGGATTTCAAAGAAAGGATAAGGTCATTGTTGTCAAGACAGATCAAGATACATTCATAGCCGACATAAGATTCAAGTTTTGTAAAGTGAAACTAAGTTTGTAAAAAATGTATATTACTAATAGATAGTGAATTATGTAATGTAATTTTCATCATTCTGGTATATTGTAACAAAGCATAAAAGTACTGAACAAATAAACGAGACCTCAAGACTATTCCATCTTTTTCATCTTAGAATTTTTCATTTTTCTTCATTGACACAAAGACCAAGCAGCACCGTGCGACAGAGCTTCTGCAAGACACGAGCAAGTACATTGGATCTCAAAACTTTCCATCCTTTTTCATCTTGGACATTTCCATCTTTTTATCATAATAATTTGTAATATTTATTGCCGTATATATATATATATATATATATATATATATATATATATATATATATATATATATATATATATATATATATATATATATATATATATATATATATATATATATATATATATATATATATATATATATATATATATAGATATATATATATATATGTAGATATCTAGAGATATATATATATAGATATAGATATAAATATATATATATATATCCAGATATATATATATATATATATATATATATATATATATATATATATATATATATATATATATATATATATATATATCCGTACATTCCATAGATTACGCTTAGATGCAAAATATATTAATGTTAATTCTTGTCAGTCTGCTGGACCTCAGAAACGGTCGATTGTTTTTTTTTTCCTTAACGTTTTGTGTTCATTCACTCTTTTATAAATTCAGTTTCGTTTACTTTCCCCCGTGTTAGGAAATTTATGTTCAACTTCTCTTAGGAAACATGTCCTATTTTAATTCTGAACCACTTAAGAGACCTTTTGTTCATCGACTGTGCCTGAATTATCTTCGATGGATAATCAGGAAAGAAAGTAAACTACAAAGGAGAAATAGATGCATAAAAAATATTGTTATTGGACCTGTCCTATTTTAATATGTTTCCGAAAATGTAATACAAAATGTGTCAATGATTATGTCAAGTATGCTATACGGTTTGTTACAAACTCAATATGCATACAGGTTACCCCAGCTTCAGAAACACAATGACCGTTAAACAATGACCAAACAACACCCTGGTACAGGGTTTCTGCACAATGAACTTTTATATTACAGTGTACGAGACCAGCCTATTGGCTCAAAAGAGAAATATTTATTTGTTG